GATTCCTGATGGGGGGGCAGTCGTTAGAGGCTGATCGCCCCTCGCTACCCCCTCATTACCCCCTGTTCACTACACCATACACCATCAGGCTGAATGTCAACCTGATCGGAAAATACTTGCAAGACTGGAAATTCGTCCCGAAAAGGGCAAAAAAATCGCACAGTTTATGCCCAGCTTTATAGAGGCAACCAGATCATCCAGTCAGATTGGTTCAATGTTTTCTATCTAAGGGAAACCAGCTGATTGTTTGAATGTTTTCTCTCGTCTGTAAGCAGGAATGAAACCTTTAGACGGGATCAGAAATAAAACAGTTTTTGTTGCAGCTGCTGAACAGCGGGGAACGTAGGATCCTGCTCTTCTATTTGCAACATTAAACCCCAGCGTGTCTGTGTGCTGATCTAAGCAGGGGGCGCTGCTCTGCAGATTAATGGCTGTAAACACTGTTTCAGAAACGATCTAACAGGGTCTGATGAACACACACATGCACATGTTTCAGTTCTCAGACGCTGGTGGCACTGGTCTGGAACCAGTAGACTGGAGTCAGAGTAGACTGGATGTTTGGGAGCTCCTACCTGCCGTTCCTGTGGACAGGATGTTCTTAGGGATGCTGACTCGGTCCTCAGAGTTGCGGGCCCAGTCCACCATTCCCCTCCAGCCCTTCATGGGGAAGTTGAAGTCGGTGTGATCCAGAACGGGACGCTTATGGATGCTCAGAACTGTAAGAGAAGGAACCGAGTGTTGGAGGTTTCATCCATCAAGCATTTACAGTTAACAGAGGGTTCAACATGGAGAGAAATAAGAGCTGCTGTTCCTCTTCCTGCCACAGAACCAGGTGAAAATCATTATTTCACTCATCATAGAAGTGACATATTTAATCTAGAGCATATTATTAGACACCAGCATTTGCTCAGTAGATGGACGTCTGAGAAGCGGCTGCAGCAGAGGAGGAATCAGAAAAGCTTTTTTAAATTGCGATGAGCAGGAGCTTCCCTGCATGCTGGATTTTAAACGTTATTTCTTCTCTGCTTCAGCTGTTTCTAAAGAAGTCATCCTAACCCCTCCTCAGGGAGAGGACAGGCTGTGGGGGGGACAGGAAGCCACCATCAGTCAGATCTCCTACAGGCTGGATTCCTCAGTGAGATAAAAACCAGCAGCAATAAAACCACAAACATCATGAAATGATCTCAGATTTATTGACTTTCAGCATCTAGTTTATCTGTTCATCCACCTTCAGTTAGAGTTCAATCTGAATCCTGGACTGACTTTGATGCTCACACACAGCCGAACTTTCTGAAGGACTAATATTAACAATCTCTGCTTTTTCCTCCCCTATCCGCTCATCTCCTTTAGCCAAAGCTAACGGAGGTTGAGTGCAGCTAACTGTGGTCAGGGCATTTTGAGTCAAGGTTTTTTTCCTCTCTTCCACTGCTCCTGAGTCCCGCCTCTCGGTGTGACATCATCGGATCTGTTGCTTTGAGACATAATATTATTGGGGTCACATTTCACTGACATACAGAGTAGCTACATGGTTGGAAGAGACACACAGCAGCACTCAGTGAATATTAACCAGCAGCTACCTGGAGCACCTCCACCCTTAGAGCGCCCCCACCTTTAGAGCGCCCCTCCCTTGGAACGCCCCCACCCTTAGAGCGCCCCCACCTTTAGAGCGCCCCCCCCTTGGAACGCCCCCACCCTAAGAGCACCAACTTTCCTCACTAAGTTACAGCCTTGGGCTCACAGGTTTTAGAGGACTGCAGGCAGAGGCATCTCACCCAAATCTCCGCTCAGTGGAGGTTCTAATAATCTGCTCTTTAAAGCTTCAGATTTAAAGCTGAAGGTTATTTTTAATTATTATTAGGATTCAGTTTCTCCATTTCGTTGTTTTTGTATGTGCTGCTGTTATAGTTAGTGAACTATAGAAAAAAATCCTTTATTTCAGTAACTTCTCTAAGTCAAGAAATGTCTTCAGGACTTTATGTCATTTAGGAACATTTTTTACTACCGTAATAAAAACACAACATTTCAAGTTAGAATATGACACCAGGCCTATAAAAACACACTATAGTATTTACAGAAATAATGATCTTATTGAAAAGCACATTTACTTCCTGTTTAAATGGTTGAAAGTTAATCAGCCTAACAGGCCTGATTGGGCCAGAAGCTGAACTGTGCGGCAGGTCAGCTGCATTGCTGCCTACAAACATCAGCTTTTCTTCAAGGTTCTGCTGGGATGTAAGAACCATCAGACTGATTGTTCAGGACTGGAGCTTTTTAAAGGAAAAGTACGGTCAAATTAAGAATTCAAATTCATTAAATCACTGTAAACATTTTAGTTTTAGGTATAAATAATGATCCCTGCTGACCGGACTTTAAAGCCTGAATAAAACCAGCAGAAGTTCATCCAGATGTGTTATAAAAACATGAACAATTTGGCTTAAATCAGGAAGACTGAGACTGCTGCTAAATCAACCGGCTGTGGGATGCATCCTGGAACAGTTCTGCATATCTGGTCCTGTGCTTCAACATGGCCGAGTCGTACCAACATGTTCCAGAACCCGACACGCCTGCTTCCAACTGTCCTCTGGTTCCCTGCAGGTTAGAAGATCCACTACGATAAGAAGGTATCCATTTATTTCTAAAATTATTCCAGAGAAAGTGATGAGGGTTGGATTAATGAAAAGCTCTGCTTGAGCCACAGCCCTTCCAAAATAAAAGCCCATCAAAGGGTTCCGGTGCATCCAAACGAGACACCTAAGGTCTGACAGACTTCCTCTGTTGATGGCGTTAAGCTCCACCCATCCTGTCCCTTTTTAGTGTCCAGGTAAGAAAGGAAAGATGCTGAATTTTCATGCGACAATAAAATGAAATGATTTTCTGAAATCTTGAAGTTTAGTGACTCATCATCCTCCAAAGCATCTCTTTGGCTCCTCGTCGATACGTGAAGCTAAAGAAATGAGAATAAATAGGTCTTTAATTTCCTTCTGAAAGTAGGGAACTGAGCACAGGATTTCAGACAAAAGAAAAGGAGAAATAAACCTGCAAACATCTAATCCACCAGATATAATCTTTAAAGGACCACAAAACCACGGAGGCCGGACATGAGAGGTCCAGCTTCAGCCGCTGTCCCCAACCTCACCTCAGGGGGGCTGCTGTTGCCTAGCAACAGTGACAGCGTGAATCCCAGAGCCGGAGATACGGATTTTCTTTTTTCATCACATCTTAGAAGCTAGAGTTCATTTTTTACCTGATGTGTCCAGAGTATTATTGTTTATTCCTCCAGTATAAGTCCTACAGTTTAAAAACACTTTTGTAGAAGTTAGAGGATCAATTTTAGCTTTTTACTCCAGTAAAAGTGTAAAAGTACAATTTTTTAAACTACTTAAAGTATAAAAAGTAAAAGTAATGCAGGAAAAACTGTAAAGGCCAGAAGCTTTCCTGCTCTACTCTATTAAAGGAACATTTCTCTACAATTCTAGATGATAATTTCCTTAGACTGTATTGTCTTAGTTTTATAACTAATGGTAACAGAGTCACATTTAACTTTGCATCATCTGGAAAAACAGTTTATTTTGGTTTGCGGTGAACAACAAGTTGGAGTCCAACCACAAAGAAATTAAATGTCTGGATGAAATTAATTATTTTGATGTTTTTTTGGTTTTTTTTAAATACCAACAGTTCACAATGAAAATGAGCTTAAATAAAACTAATGGGTCTATTTTTAAAATGTTAGGAGTAAAAGAAAAACGAATTATTCCAGTAAAGTATACATAGCCAGCATTTCTACCTAAGTATTTGTACTTTATTGACGCCTCTCCTGCTCACATTATCTTTAGTGACTGTCGACAGGAAACAAATGAGTGAAACATATTGATTGAATGTGTATAAAGATAATATCTATAAATAATTATTCAGAAATGTCTTGATCTGGCCTGATTGCTCCACCATTACTTTCACCTGCCGTTTTCCCTCCCTGCTGTAATTATCATTTATTCCTCTCACCTGTTTCCTTTGCTTTAAATTCTGTTCAGCCTGAGCATTCAGGGCCAGATCATTAGATTTTGTTTTTTCTGTTCATTTGATGTCAGGGTTCATCTCCTGGATCCTGGCGGCCAGTGGAAGGAGGGTTTTGTGTCTGTCTCGTCTTCTGCTCGTCCACTGTTCCTCCCCTGCTGAGCCCTCAGAGTTGTTGGCTCTGTAGGCGGGGAGGTTCAGTTTTTATCCCAGTAGCCTGGTTCCACGTCCTGTCTCTGCTACCCTCCACCACCGAGCCTGCCCGCATGTCCGCCTGGTCACGCTCCCGGACTCAGTCGGACTCTGAACCTGCCTGGGAGCTCCAGGGTTTCTGGAAGCCTGGATCCTGTCGTCTGTCTGTTCCTGCCTGATCTGTAACCCTGTCCAGGATCGGCTTCCTTCAAGTCCTCCAGGACTGCAGCAACGGGGACACTCTGGGTGGCGCGCGCCGCATCAGTCTTCAGTCCAGCGGCTGGATGGCGCCCCTTTCCAGGGAGATGGACTGAACTGTTAAACCAGGTAAGTGACCAAACTGATAACCATCTTCTGCCAGATGATCGTGGTCACTTACCTGTGTTTCTCCCATAACCAGAGTGTCTGAGGTTGGGCGGGGCCCCGCCCCCCTCCTGCAGTCGCCATGAGCCACAGATCCAACAGCATCACTTTAGTTTCAGTTTGTTTATGTCTTTGTTCTAATAAACGTTTTGAACTTTCGTACTGACTGTCTCACCTTGAATAATGGGTCCATCTGTCCCGTTTATGACATTTTCCTTATTAAACAAAAACCCAATAGGAGGAAATGCATCTCTTTGGAGCAAGAGGTCAGCATAAATATTCAAAAGCGTATTTTTTTTTCGTAAGGCATTTACTAATAAAGGTAAAATATGTTAATAATAATAATAATAATTTAATTTTATTGATCTCACATTGGAGAAATTCACTCTCTGGATTTAACCCATGCTGCCATTTTAACCCATGCTGCCATTGTGCGGCGCCCGGAGTGCAGTGTGAGGTTAAGGGTCTTGCTCAGGGACCCAGAGTGGCAGTCTGTGGGAGTGGGACTCAAACTCAGAACCTCTGGATTCTAAGCTCTATGCCCTAACCACTAGGCCACTCCCCCAAACTAGTTGATCATCACATCTGATTTGGTGTCCATAATATTTAGGAGGAATGTACTGTTTCCTGTCTGGATCACTGAGGAACTCTAACCACTAAGCAAAACCTAATGGTCAGCTAAGATCCTCTGAGCTACAACGAAGCAAATAATCCCAAAATGAGCTGCTGGATATAATCTGACTGAAATATATACGTGTTTGACTTCCATCCCGTAGTTAAACCCAGTAGTAGGTTATGTTGGAGAATCAGGAGAGGAGGGAAGGCCGCCTGGTCAGCTGGCAGTGAGCGATGGAGGAGGCAGCTCTGAACGATACTGCAGCCTTTAAAAGTTTGTTTTGGGTGATAGAAACTGGAAGATATCACTTTTAATCCCAGTTCTTCCCTCCCTCGTCCACCATTGGTGAAAAGCTTTTGCTAATATTTGACCTTAAGCCTGACTTTACTCTGCAGAAGCTCCACTGTGGAGCGAAGCAGAGAGACGCTCCAAGAAGAAGCGCTGATCACAAAATAAAAGTCAGAGATTAAATAAGCACAGCAACTCATTCAATGGGATTAAACAAATAAAAAAGCCCTGCTGGGATTAGAATAG